TAAACTAATATTTTACAAATGAGGAGTTTTGTTTCAATATAAAAATATCAATAGAACGAAGCTTGACACAATAAAGTTTTTTTCTTTGTCTATCTATTTTAATAGAAAGATAATTTCCATGTCTAATATATTTAAAACTAAAGTCTATTCTATTTAAAGAGAAAACTCCTTTCGAATTACAAACAAAAATAGTAAACCCATCTGTATCAATCCCAGAATAACACCCTTTACATATACCATTTATACTTCCTTTAAATTCAATACATCCATGTAAAATACATATGATATTATCATCTGTTATAACACACTTCTTTATTATTCCTCTTTCTTGACATTCATACCTTTGAATAAAACCATTTCGAAATAATAGGAATTTTGTTCCTTGTTGAAAAAATATTGCATCTTCACACCAACCACATGATTCGTACCATTCATTTTTAGTACTAATAATTCTTTTGTTAACAAATTGTGTTCCTTTTTGAATGACCTTAATATCTCTAAGGTTTTGATGAAAGAAACGATGGAACATCGAAGTGAACTTTGTAGTTCTTTATTACTAAAAATAGTATTGCTTTTGTTATAAATCATCAAATAGCAAAATGATATTTAAGAAAGCAATGAATTAAAGATAAAGTTGTTCAACTTGTTCATGAACACTGAATGTTGGTAACACATATGAAACATTTGGAAAATCGTCAGCTAGTGTCATATCATCATCAGTACCATTTACAATGTCTTTAGCAATACTTGCTGTCTCTAAACCTGGAAGTCTATTTGGCTATAACAAGTAAGAATTTAATATTAATAAAAAAAGTATGTGTCTAACAAACATATGAAAATATTGCTTTTTCAAGTTGAATCCTTTCTGCAAAAGAAGGTCCAAATTGCATTGGTAAAAATTGTTCATTCAAACGAACATTATCTTGTAATGATTGTGTAAGAGTTTGGTAGTCAGAAGTGGTTTGTGGTGCAGAGGCTGGTTTCATTAATGATCTTACGTCTTGAAATTCTGTAAGAAAAAGTGTTGATTCCATTATCTTTCTGTATTTTTTAATTTCTAAGATTTTCTTTTTTAATTTTTAATTTTTTTATTATTTCTCTTGAAGTTTTTATTCTTCTACTCAATTAAAATATAATATTATATCACTTTTATTTACTGTTATTTAGAAATTTATGACAATGCCGTACCTCTTTTTTTTATTAATCATTTCTTCTTATCACAACAACAGACATGTTAATGGTTTACGTGATTTATAAGTTAATAAGATATGTTCAATCAAATGTAACGTCAAGTGAATAAAATAAAAATCCTAATAGAAAAATATATCAACTAACTATCATTTTTGGACTTCTGTAAATTTGACAAAATGCATTTTAGAATTGTAAGTGTATGGGAAGACATAATACTTTTTATTTCAATATCATTTTTAAAATACTATTTAATGGTAAAACTTTTTGAGGATACTCACTACCCAAGAAATTTTTATTGTTTGTCCAGTACTTTCACTTTTTAAAGAGTTCATTTATAGTAGTAAATACACTTATTTCTAAGATTGAAATACTTTAGAGCAATACACATTCTACTCTTTTCTATAAAAATAAACGGGGGTTGAAATTCATTTTTTGGTTTAACCTCATCTGTTTGTGATAATAAAAAGTGAAATAGAAAAATAATAAAGAAAAAAGTAAAAAAAGATCAAGTATGAAGATTTGAATGTTTCTTCCTTTGAAGAATATCTTTAATCATCCATTTAATAAGTGTTTTATCTCTTTCTGTGTTTTCTTGTTTCCTTTTCTTTGCTTTCTTTTTTTCTTCTTTAGTGTGTTGATAACTTTGATTAATTTCTGCTCGAATTTGTTCAATTGGAATTGGATCAATTGCATCACTTTCACTATTAACTCTTAAACAATATTCTTTATGATATTTAATTAATTCTGCTTTTGTTCCTTTAACTTCTAATCCAAATTCTTTAATTTCTGCTCGTATTTTTTTTTCTTTCATAAAATTATATTGTCTGCTTCCTATTCTCTCTATTTTCTTTTCTTCTCCTCTTCTTTTCTTCGTGATTTTCTCTTGAATTTCAATATTCGCTTCAATTTCTTGTTGTTTCGTTCGTCTTTTACAAATTGGACACATTTCTTTCACACTCAACCATCGTCGAATACACTCACTACAAACTATTCTATTTATTCTTTTCTTCTTCTTATTTATATCAACAAACACGTGTGGTGGCACGGAAGATCAACTGCCCCATGCATATCTCTATCTATCTGATGAATCTTAATTATCAC